GAGTACATGCATTATAAAATAAGGAAGGAGAGAAACAAGGATTTACTTCTTTTCTTTAGTCAAGCAACACATTTCCATATTAGTCATGCTGTGAAAGAAAACATAGACCTCCCCCCCCAAGTTTGTAATATTGATTTGTGGTCTCACTTGGAATCAATCTTTGTTCTGTTTTGAATGTTGAAACTTTCATTGTGGGGTATTTGGTAAGTTTAAAATTCTTGAGGTGAAAAAGAAAGTAAAAAGAAAGTATGGTTCAGTCTGTATTCAGCCACCATCAGTTCTTTCTCCAGGGATGGATAGAATTGTTCATCATCAGTCCTTCAGTCTTGGATCATTGTATGGCTGAGAAGAGCTACGTCATTCATGGCTGATAATCTTATAATACTGCTCTTACTTTGTACATAGCACATTTCACTTTGCATCAGTTTACGTAAGTCTTTCCATGTTTTGTTGTTGTTGTTGTTTTTGCTTTTTGGTGAGGCAATCAGGGTTAAGCGATTTGCTCAGGGTCACACGGCTAGCAAATGTCAAGTGTCTGAGGTCAGATTTGAACTCAGGTCCTCCTGACTCCAAGGCTGGAGTTCTATCCACTGCGCCACCTAGCTGCCCCCAGGTTTTTCTGAGACCATCCTGCTCATCATTTCTTTTAGCACAACAGTATTCTGTCATAATCACATGCCACAGTTTGTTTAACCATTCCCCAATTGATGGGCTTCCCCTCAATTTCCAATTTTTGTCTCTAGCAGAAATGAGCTGCTAGAAATATTTTTGTATATGTAGGTCCTTTTCCTTTTTGTTTTTTATCTCTTTTGGGATACAGACCTAGCGGTTGTTGGCTAGTTGTTGTCCTTCGTTCTTGAAGAGGACCGAAGTGACCTCACTATGGTAGAGTCCAGGTCCAGTGTGTGCGGCTGTGGCTGATCAGACCAGTAGGAACTCAGAAAGTTCTACCACAGGTGGGGCACAAATAGTCTGTCTGTGAACACTTGGAGTGGTTTCTCTAAATTTTCACATCTTATGTTTCTTTTGAGTTACTTCGATTCTGCTTTGTTACTGGAGCACAGTACCTTCTCTGATGAGGCCATGCCATGCTGGGCGGTCCTGTGCCAGCGTCTCCCATGTCACACAATCAATTTCCAAGTTCTTCAGAGAGACTTTGAGAGTGTCCTTGTATGGCTAACCAAGTGAGCATTTGCCTCATGTGAGTTCTCCATAAAATAGTCTTTTTGGCAAGCATGTTTTGCACTTGAACAACATGGCCAGCCAGGGTGTACATGGTTTCATAGCCCTTTGGCCATAGTTCCAAATTGCTTTACAGAATGGTTGAATCAGTTCACAACTCCACCAACAATGCATTCATGTCTCATTTTTCCCACATCCTCTCCAACATTTGTCATTTTCCTTTTCTGTCCTATTAGTCAATCTAATAGGTATGAGGTAGTACCTCAGAATTGTTTTAATTTTTATTTCTCCAATCAATAGTGAGTTAGAACATTTTTCAGATGGCTATAGATAGTTTTGATTACTTCATCTGAACACTTCATATCTTTTCCTCATTTATCAGTTGGGGAATAGCTCTTACTTTTATAAATTTGACTCAGTTCTCTACATGTTTGAGAAATGAGCCCTTTATCAGAGAACTGGTTGTAAAATTTTTCTCACAGTTACTATTGCTAACTGTATTTCCCTCCATCCTACCCCCCCATTTATTCCATTCTCTCTCTCCTTTCACCCTGTCCCTCCTCAAAAGTGTTTTGCTTCTGACTATCCCCTCCCCAAATCTACCCTCCCTTCTATCACCTCGCCTTCTCTTATCCCCTTTCCCTCCTACTTTCCTGTAGGGTAAGATGGATTTCTATGCCCAATTGAGTATGTATGTTATTCCCTCTTTGAGCCAATTCTGATGAGAGTAAGGTTCACTCACTCCCCTTCACCTCTCCCCTCTACTGTAAAAGTTTTTTCTTGCCTCTTTTATATGAGATAATTTACCCCACTTACCTGTCACTTCTTCTCCAAGTACATTCCTCTCTCATCCCTTAATTTTATTTTTTAGTTATCAACCCTTCATATTCGACTCACACCTGTGCCTGTACCTATTATGCTCTTTCTAACTGCCCTAACAATGAGAAACGAGTTACAAGGATCATCTTCCCATGTAGGAATGTAAACAGTTTTACTTTATTAAGTCCCTTTGGTTTTCCTTTCCTATTTACCTTGTTATGCTTCTCTGGAGTCTCATATTTGAAAGTCAGATTTTCTATTTCATCTCTGGTCTTCTCATCAAGAATGCTTGAAAGCCTTCCATTTCATTGAATATCCATTTTTTCCCCCTGAAGGATTATACTCAGTCTTGCTGGATAGGTAATTCTTGCTTGTAATTCTAGCTCCTTTCCTCTTCAGAATAGCCTATTCCGATTATGGGCAAAACAATAGAGTCCTGCCACAGTGCTAGCACAGAGAACCCTGCAACCTTCCTCTGACTAGCTGACCACTCCCCCTCCTTTCCTGCCAACCTTCTAAGTTGTCTTTGACTGGAAAAATTATTTCACCCCATCCTTTTGTGGGTTCTGCTGCTCCAGGAATTGTTTTGTGGCACTATTTAAAGGTGTTTGGGAGAGCTCAGGCAAGTAGCTGCCTTTTTTTCCACAGTCTTGGTTCCAACCCACTCCTCTGTATGTAGTATGCATTTATTAAGCACCTACAAGACACCAGACACTATACTAAGTACTTTACAAATATTATCTCCTTTGATCCTCATAATAACCTTGAGGGGTGCTGTTGTTATCCCTATTTTACAGTTGAGGAAACTGAGGTTGAGAGGAAAAATGACTTTCCCAGGATCACATAGCTAATAAACCTCTGAGGCAAGATTTCAATTCATGTCTTCTGGACTCCAGTGCCACCTAGTTGCACCTATGACTTCCTTTGCCTCATCTTCCTAGACAAAGGGAACATCAACAAACATACTTCTTTGGCTCTCTATCCTGATCACCCCCCCCCAAAAAAAAACCCAAAGCCTTCCTCCAGCAAAGATGCCACTCCTGCCCATAGAATCCAGTTAGAAATTCACTGCTCTCCTTCTGGGACGCCCACCTCAGGATAGTACAAGACATTCCTATTGGGGCACGGCTATTTTTCTGCTCTGTCCTCCGTTTCAGGTGGGATTGTCCAATGGAATCACTCAAGAAAATTCCAGTTTTTCTAGCTGGCGAATGGAACAAGATTACAGAAGGAATTAGTGATCCAACCAAAGGGAAATGGGAAAGGGAAACCCAAGGTTCCCAAACCTCCAGAGGCAGTGCACAGATGCTATGGCTCTTCTGCCTGGTCACTTCATTTCATTTTCATCTTGCATTTTCTTAGGAGTTTGGTAGAATGGACTGCCTACCAAAGAGGGCTTAAGGAGGAGAGACAGTGCTGGGGTCAGTAATTATACCAAGTCAGCTGCCAAGGACTTGGCAATCCACTGAAGGCTGGGGGTGAGGGACAGCATTCAGCCCTTTCTGAGTTTTCTTTGTGATCTGGCTTTCCAAGCTTTCTGACTTTGCCTAGTAGCCCTGCCAACCTTAACCCTGGACTAAAACCCTCTGTGGCTAATCTCATGACTCCTGAAGCCCACAAATGGGCTCCAGGGAAAGCCTCCCCCACCCCAGTCAGCCCCCAGTGGGTGGAGATAGGTATGATCACAGAGGACTAATCCTGCCTCCTCCCTTCCCTAGTTCTAGAGCCCTGAAATTGGAGTCAGGACAACCTGAGTTCAAATCCAGCCTTAGACACTTACTAGCTAAATGACCCTGGACAAGTCACTTCACCCTGTTTGCCTCAGTTTCCTCATCTGCAAAGCTGGAGAGATGGCAAACCACTCCAGTATCTTTGTCAGGAAAACCCCAAATGGGGTCACAGAGCATCGGATGCAGATATGACTCAATGACAATAGCAGAATAATCTGGGAGGGTCAAACGTGATCCTGTTTCTACTTTTCTTTGTATTCCCCAATGCTTAACACAGGGGTGGGGAACCTTAAGCCTCGAGGTCCCGCGTGGCCCTCTAGGTCTTCATCCCCTGTGAAGTTTGGATTCAGTCAAAGGGCTGCACTTGAGGACCTAGAGGGCCATGTGGGGCCTCGAGGATGAAGGTTCCCCACCTCTGGCTTAACACAATGCTAGGCACCTAAGAAAGGTGAGCTATTTTGTAACCTTTAAATCACTATATAAATGTGAGTTACTATTTTTGGTTGTTTTTTGAGTGATTCCATTCATAATAAAAAGCAGAAAATTTAAAAAGCTTCATGGCAAGAGTGCCTGTGCAGGACCTGGGGTCCGGCCTGAGATGAGCAGCTTGCCTCCCTTCCCAGCCTCCAGACCTCAAGGAACTCACTTCTGGGCATAGCCTGGGGTCACTTACCCCTCAGACTGACCGAGGCCTTATCCTCTCACACCTTCCCAAGGAATAGTCCCTCTCCACACAGTGAGGGCAATGAGAAAGGTACTTTTTCAGCAGTTGAGGCCGCTCACTAGTTAGTGGTCTGAATCCCAGGGTGGTTGACATGAGGAGGGAGGGACAGGATGGATGCTGCTGAATGGCCCGTCTAGGAGCCAGGCATCTGCAGACCAAAGGTCCCCCACAAGACCTTCTGGACACGGGGATTAGGGTCCAGTGCACACTGTTCCTTCTGTCTGCCTGCTCTGGGCTCTGCTCTTTGATTTTCTTGCGTGTGGAGTGAGGAGAGACAAAGAGCAGGAATCTTCTAACAATCCAGATAAAAGTTCCTGCTCCCCAACCCCTCCCCAGGACCGGAGCCAGTCAGATGACATTGTCCCAGGTTCCCTGTTCTGGGGTTCTGGGAGGGCTGACACCTGGGGGTGGGGGCGTGTCAGAGTGCCCCCCCCAGCCCCTGCTGGAGGTGCCATAAATAATAGTCATTTGCTCGACTCAAAGGTCATTCTCGGTTCCTACGTGCCAGGGGAGCAGCAGGGCAGGGCAGGGTGGGCCAAGCCGGGCTGAAAGATCTTTCCTCCCCTTCCTTGGAGGGCCCTGGGGTGAGGGGGGGGCTGGGCTGCTCCCCCACCATGGAGGCCTCTGGCTGGGCCCTGGGACTTCTGCCGCTGCTGCTGTTTCTCCCTGGAGCTAAAGGCCAGACCCAGGGTAGTGGGGTTGAAGGGAAGGCAAGGCTGGGGGAAAGGAGTCAGGGTGCTCTGGGCAAGGGAGGTGGTGGGAGCGGGGAGGAGAGGCTGGGGGTAGAGGGCTGGGAGCAGGGGACTGGGGGGAGGGGGGACTGGGGGAGGAGAGGCTTGTGGCAAGGGGCTGGGGAGAGGCTAGGGGAGGAGAGTCTGGGGGCGGGCATGCAGGGTGTTTCAGGGAAATTCAAGAGTCAGTGCTGATTCAGAGTGGGAATCCCTCCCACAGTGTGCTCTGTGAACCAGAATTTGTTCTCTGTGAAAGAGAATGAAGTCCCTACAGAACCCCTAGCCAACGTCACTGCACCCGTAGGGCAGATGGTGGTTGTGAGTGATTTGTCCAATCCTGCGGACATCTTCAAGATTGCAAATGGTGAGCTGAGGCTCACCAGGGCACCCGATTATGAGGTGAGCCAGAAGCCAGCCCTCTGGGCCCTTCCCCACCCTTCTTCCCCTCCTGGGTCCTCTAGGTCCTCCCCTCTGCCCGCTTCACCTCAGGCAGGGGGGTAGTGGAAGGCTGTCCCTCAATCTGTCACTCCAAAGTGTGGACATCCAGGGGCTTGGCTTGTTAGGGAAATGACCGGTTCCACATTCCCTTCTTTCCCCTACCCAGACACATACTGTGTTGACTGCAATCCTGGAGTGCAAGGAGGGGTCTCATGTGGTGAGTGTAGGGGCTGGGCATCTGGATGGGGAAGTGGGTTGGAAGGAGTGATGACCTTTGACCTCTAACCGCTGGGTTGCCCCAGGTGACCAGGCTGCCTGTGATTGTGGTGGTCATCAATGTCAATGACATGACTCCCGAGTTTCCCTTTTCTAGCAAGACCTGGAATGTTAGTGAGGTGAGCTGTGCAATGCATGGAGTGGTGCAAGATTGGGGGGGGGGGTGAGGGAGTGGTGTTGGGGGTGCTGGGGTCCAAGCCAGGGATGGAGCTCAGCTGCTCCCACCCAACCTCCCCAAATTCTGTACAGAACACCAACGTGGGGACCACTGTCATCCCAGCCACGGAACTGACGGCAACAGACAAAGATGGCGACACACTCTTCTACAGTCTCTTAGGGAAAAATCCCCCGGTCAGTTGAGCTGGCTTCCTCCAGAGCAACCTCCTCCTCCCCCAACTCCTCCATGACCCCTGAGCACCCGCTCCCTCCCCCAATCCCCTCCAGGACCCCAGAGCACCCCATCCCTCTCCCAGCCCCTCCAGGACCCCTGAGCACCCCCTCCCTCCCCCAATCCCCTCCAGGACCCCAGAGCACCCTTGTCCTCCCCCAATCCTCTCTAGGACCCCCGAGCATCCTTCTCTTCCCCCCCTCAGCCCAGTGCTGGGCTCCAGCTGAGGTATAGGACTCAGCTGCTTGTCTAGGAAGCGGGGAGGGAGCACTGGGCTCCTGCTGGCTGCTCATTGACTGTGCTGCCCCCTCCACCCCTGCCTCAGGATGCAGAGTTGTTTTTCTCCCTGGCTGGAGTTAACTTCCCTGCCCTGCGGCTGGCCCAGACTCTGGACTATGAGAAGAACCCAATCATGGTCCTCCACCTTCTGGCCAGGGTGAGTTCCTTCCCCTCCTGGGTCCCCAGGGAACCTGGCTGTGCGCTCCTAGGCGGTTTGAGGCCTTGGTTTCCCCCTCTAAGATGAAGGGGTGGTTCCTCATGCTCTTTGAGCCCTCTCTGTGCCCTGGAGCCTTTGGGCACTTAGGTGTCCTGACAGACCAGACCCAAAATGGCACAGCCTCAGCCTATGCCCAGTGACCCCTAGCCCCCAAGCAGGCCTCTTTATCCCCTAAGGCCAGGGGACCATAGAAAAGAGTAGCCCAGCACCAGCACGGGGTGGTCCTCCAGGCCCTCCTGCATCCTGCTCACGTGTGGCTGGGGGCTCTGCCACAGGACACCCCAAAGCCACAAGAGGAGCCTAGCCACACCGCCACGGCCACAATCACAATCCAAGTGTTGGCTGCAGACATACGCCCTCCATGGTTCTTACCCTGTGTGTTCACTGATGGACGAATCTGCATCCATGCCCAGTACCGAGGAGCTGTGCCCACTGGCTCTGTCCTGGTAATGTCCATGCCTAGGGCAGGGGGTGGAGCAGGCATCTCTCCTCATGTGAACTCCCAACCACCCATACTCAGATGGCCAGAAAGGAGGGCCAGTGAAAGCCTCCCACAGGGCTCCATTGACCACAGTGTCCATCCCTGGGGCTCCAAGCTGACTCCAACTGGGCTTTGCAGAGTTCCTGCAAGGAGTGAGCAGTGCCTGGCCTTTCCTGCCAAGGAAGCAGGCCTGAGGCCACTGGAGGGCGTGTCTGGGAGGCTACAGGAGGAACTTCCTTGAGGACCTGGGAAAATAGTTATTAAGTGACTCGGGCTAGAGACTGCTCCCACCTTGGCAGTCAGGGCTTGGGGCCATTCGTCTCTGAGCTTCTGCCTACCCGAGTAAGAGACTGTGAGCTCACGGCCAAGTTTCTGGCCTGACGAGTGACTTGAGGAGAGGCAGGCAGCTGGGAGGAGGAAGAGAGCTGGCCTTAGAGCCTCCCTGGGATCTCTCACAGACTCTTATGCCCAGAACCCCCGTCCTGCGTGTTCCTGACCCTGCTGAAGCCCAGGGCCAGTCCCCAGCCCTAGTCATTTCATAACAACATTCTCTCCTAATTTGGCCAAGGTTCTTAAGGGAGTTCCCCCCATAACCTCCCCAGTGTGCCCACCAGTGGTTTCAGTCCTGCCTCCTTGTCAGAAAGGTCTGGGCACTGCTTACTCCCCGAAGGAACTTTGCACAGGCCAATTAGGGTCAGCTTGGGGCCCCAGAGATAGACAATGCAGGAAACCACCAGCCCTCCCTCCTGGCCAGGCTGGGCCAGGGATGCCACCCAACTGCTTCTCCTCCTCCCTTCCTCTAGACAGAACCCCTGACCTTCGAACCTGGGCCCGTGTACGCTATAGATGGAGACACTTCCATCAATGAACCAATCAGATACAGCATTATTCGGGGTGAGACACACCCCCCAGGTCTCTGACAGCCAACCTCCCCTGCCCCCACCCCATCAGAGCCCAGGCCCTCTGCACTGCCTGCCCACCACCCTTCGTCTGGGTTGAGGAGGGGGCAGACACAGAGATGACTGGCTGAAGGTGACTTCCCCCCTCCCCCCAATCTTCCCCAGGGAATACAGACAATACATTTCAGATTGGCGTAGACTCAGGCAACATCACCATGGCCAAAGCTGTCCCTGTCCCCGAGACTTTCAACCTGCTGGTCCAGGTGAGAAGGTCTGGGGGCTGCTCTCCTCCCTAGCCTATGCCCCCCCCCCCGAGGGCGCCCCTCCCGCTCTGGCCCCGGGCCCTCTGCTCTTCTCCCTCTGTTTCACTTGGGGATCTTATCAGCTCCCATGGATTCGATGACCATCCCAAATCTATCTTTCTGGCCCCTACTTCCCAGCTGACCTCCAATCTTCCAACTGCCTTCAGACATCTTGAACCAGACGAGTCCAAAACCAAATGCTTTCTCTTTCCCCCTAAACCTTCTCTATTAGTGTGGAGGGCACCACCCTCCTTCTAGTACCTCAGGCTCCCCACCCTGGTATCATCCTGGAGTCCTCACTCTTTCTCAACCCCCAGATCCAATATGGTAGCCAAAGCCTATAGATTTCACCTCTGAGGATGTCTCCAATACACTCCCTTCTCTCCTCTGACCCTGCCCCCACCCTGGTGCAGACCCTCATCTCCTCACTCCTAGACTATTACAATAACCTGCTGGAGGGTCTGCCTGCCTCAGTCTTCCCCACTCCAATCTATCCTCCATTCAGTCACCAAAATGATTTTCCTGACCCTACTTGGTAAACTCTAAGGGCTTCTTATCAACTCTAGGAGGAAACAGAAAATCTTTTTCTCTGGCATTCAGAGCCCTTCATAACCTGCCCACCCCCTTTTCCAGTTTCCCTATACCTTCTCCCACATTACTTTCTGAGGCTCCCCAGCCTCCCAACCTTTCCATGAACAAGACCCTCCATTTCTGGGCTCTGGGCACTTTCTCTGGCCATTCCACACCGCTCCCTCCCACATGCCTGAAACATTGTTCCTACTCACTTCCCTGGCTTCCTAAAATCCCACCTCCTACAGGAAGCCTTCCCCAGCTCCTCTACTCCAGGACCTCCCCTGTACCCTGTCCAGAGCTGGCTTTGTATCTATTCATTTACATGTTGTCTCCCCTACTAGATTGTGAGCTCCTCGAGGCCGGGGACTGTCTTTACTTCTTGTATCTTGTTTAGCACAGCTCCTGGCACCCAGTAGGTGCTTAATACATGTTGATGGACTGACTGCCTACCCTTCCCCATGGGCAGGCTCCAGGGGAGCAGCGCTGCATTGTGCCTGAGGCCCTGGGACTGAGATCCAGAGCCAGCCTGGGGGACTCAGCTGCTCCCCACGAGGGCTCCGTATCACAGGACCCCATGGACACGGCTGTTGTCTCCATCTCGCTCGCTCCCTCTCTGCTGCCTTATTCTGGGTGCCCTTCACTGGCCCTTGCGGCCTCCCTCTGTCTCTGGTGGTGGATGGGGCCTTCCTCTCGGGCCTGTTGGGAGCCCAGTCTGTGCCTTGGTTCCCCTGCTCTCCCTAGGCTCAACAACAGTGGAACACAGGAAGCTATTCTGTGACTCAGGTCACCATTCAGGCAGTGGCTGGGCAGCTGCACCCACCTCGATTCCCCCAGGCCCTATACCGAGGCTGGCTGCCCCCAGGCACTGGCATCAATGTGGCTGTGAAGGACGCAGAAGACCCTGATAGGGAGCTGAGGCTCAGAGCTGAGGATGATGACTTCCCAGCAGGTGTAAGGAAGGAGGGTATCATGGGAGAGGGTCTGGGGAGAAAGGAGGGAAGAGAGCTCTCCTGGGGAAAGGGAAGGAGAGGTGAGGGGGGAGGGGTCTCCTGAGGGCATGAAGGAAGGGGGCTGGGGTGCACTCATCCCTACATCCTATCCTGCAGGCGCCCAATTCAGGCCTTCGGTACCAAATCGCCAATAGCTCAGCCTTCCGTATGTCGGGGGAGGTTGTGCTGACCAATGACATCGTGGGGCCCCCGCAGGTGCTTTACCTGCAGGTAGGTTCCGTCCCAGGGTCTGGTGCCTTCGGGGTGGGGGGGGTGGCTTGGGGACAGAGCTGACCGGCCTGCTCCCTCCCTCAGGCTGAGGTCTTGGATGAGCTGACCTCCGAGAAAGACACGACCACCATTGAAATCCTTGTTCAGGACACAAAGCCCACCCCTCCAGGTAGTGTACCCTCCCAGCCCCTCAGGGCAGGCCCAGCTAAGCCAGCCTCCAAAGGCCATGCCCACAGACTCCCTGGGTTCCTGGGGATGAGGGCAGAAAGCATCGGAGCAGCCTGGCTCGCACCTGCTAGGCGCCAGTCCCTGACCCCAAGGAGCCGAGGTTAGCTAGGCTAGGAGCTTAGGGTGGAGGCTAGAATTTGGTCACTCATGACACTGAGCCTCCCATCCCCAGTAGGAGGAGGGACAACCTCAAGGCCCCTGCTTCCCTCTGCTACCAGCAGCCCTTGGACCCCTACACCCCCAACATCTGTGTCTTCCCCAGAGTCCACGACTCAGGGGAGTGGGACACAGACCTCTCCAACCTCGAGGAGCACCCCAACCAGACCTCCCACCCAGGACTCCCCAGAGCCCCCCAGCCCTGCCCCCACCCTGGTCCCCCCACACTCAGGCACCACGGTGAAACCCTCGACCGCGACCCCGACCCAGGGGCCCCCCGCCCCCGGCCCCGGCCCTGCCCCCACCCCGGCCCCCCCACACTCAGGCACCACGGTGAAACCCTCGGCCGCAACCCCTACCCAGTCTTCCCCAGGTCCCCCAGGCCCTGGCCCCTCTGGGGGCTCCCAGACTGGAGCACCAGGGGGGATCACGGGAAAAACATCAGCAGCGCCAGGTGGACTGTCTTCAGAGCCAAATGTCTCATCAGCAACCTCTCCAGGGCCCATTGGACCCTCCAGGCCCACAGGTGGTGCCCCCCATCTTTATCAGTGCCATCCCCCCAGGCTCCCTCCCTGAAACCTCCATGCAGAACTGCCCCCTACTTGCTGTGCCAGCACCCCCCTGACCTACACACACCTGCCCAGAGCCAGAGGATCTGGACCCCTTATCTGGTCAGGTGGCCAGCCCAGCTGCCGTGGGCTCCACCTCAGATGTGATAGCCGCAGGGCTGCCCTCTGGGGAGAGGGCCTGAGACCTTGGTTACTCCCCTCCTTCCCTCCCTTCCCTCTCCCAAGTGGTTTATGGCAGTGTGTGACACAGTCAGGCCAGACAGGGCCTACAGTCCTGGGCTGGCCCTGCCCTGGGGGGAGGGCATACCTGGCTCCAAATGTCTCTGGCCAGTGGGTGGGGGGAGGGGGCTGGGCAGGGACAGGCCATCCCTCCACATGACCCTGGGCTCTCCAGCTGGGTCCAGATGAGGGGATCCAGGCCCCCAGGGGAGGCTGGAGGCTGGAGGCCTGCTGGTGTCTCCCCAGGAGACCAGGAGCAGCAGGGGTCCACGGTGAACGAGATGGCCATCGTGGGAGGGGTGCTGGGAGCCCTGCTCCTAGTGACCCTCATACTGCTGGCAGTCTTCATCTACAAGCGCAATAAGTGCCAGAAGTCTGATCTCAGCAGCATGCATGGGGTGAGGCCTGCTCGGGGGCAGAGGCAGAGGCAGAGGCAGAGGTTAGGGGAGGGGCGAGGAGAGACAGACAGCAGGGATCCAGAGACAAGAGAGACAGAGACAGAGGGAGAGGAGAGGACAGACACCGTAAGGAGAGACACAGAGATGGAAAGGCAAGAGACAAGGCCAGAGACAGACAGCAGGGACCCAGAGACAAGAGAGACAGAGATCAAGGGAGAAGAGAGGCCAGAGAAAGATAGAAAGACGAGAATGAGGCCAGAGACAGACAGTAGGGGCCCAGAGACAAGAGACTGAGACAGGCAAGAAGAACCATCTCTCTGAAGGGATAAAGATGTCAGTGGTGCAGAGACACAAGACATATAGACAGAGTCCAGAGTGAGAGAGGAGAGACTAACAAGAAAGTGGTCTACAGCTGCTCTCCTTGGATTCTCCCAGCAGCCCTGGGAGAGAGGCGCTGTTATTATCCCCATTTTACAGATGGGGAAACTGAGGCAGGCAGCGGGGAAATCAATTGCCCAGGGGCCTACAGCTAGGAAGTGTCTAAGGTGGGATTTGAACTCAGGTCTTCCTGACTTCAGGCCTAGAGCTCTGTCTATCTACAGACCTATATATGGAAAAAGAAACAGATGAAATAGAGATAAAAGCTATTAGGCAAGGACAGAGAAAGAGACAGTAGGTGCTGAGAGACAGAGCCTCTGGGGAAGGAGATGTGGGGGAGGTGTTTGTTGGGGGGCTGAGCCGGGGACCTCCCTCACTACTTGCATTTCTCGTCCCACAGACTGACTTAAAGGCCTCAGGCTATGATAATAAATCATTCCAAGCTCAGGAGTCACCCAACGGGTCTGCCTTTTCCAGCCCTAGCCCAGAGCCAGGGCCCGAGCCTCAGCCCCTCGAGGATGACCCTCCAGAAGGGCCTGGCAATGGCCCAGCCCCTTGTATGCCTGAGCTCGAGATGGCTGGCCCTGAGGTCAGAGAGGCCAAGGAGGAGATGGGCGAGGACCCAGAGCAGGGGAGCCCCAGGACCGGGAAAGAGGGGCCTGTGAGGTCCATCCTAACCAAGGAACGGAAGTCAGAGGATGGAGGGTACAAAGCCGTGTGGTTTGGGGGGGACATCGGTGCCCAGGTGGACGTGGTGGTCATCAACAGCCCAGCGCCCGAGGAGCCCCACTCGCTCTTGGTGGGGCCTGAAGAGCCCAAGGAGAGCACCGTGGAAGAGAATGAGAGTGGGGACAGGGAAACAGAGGCATAGCCTCCATTGGTGGCTGGGGCCGACAGCCCACTCTCGGCAGGGCCTGAGTCCCAGCTGAGGTCTCTGGGCTCCCCTTCTATGGCTTGGACATGGGGGGGTCACACAGACCGAGCTGTCCCCCACCCCCACGTCAGTACTTAGCCCTCCTGGGCCCCTTGTGCCCTTGTGTATTCCCGGGTCAGTCTCTGGCCCTGCATTAAATCTGCTAAGCTGAAGGTGCCTCCAAGTTCTGGCAGCCCCCCGGGTGGGGGTGGGGGTGGGGGTGGGGAGGCCAGCTGGGCTGGCAGCCCAGCTGGGTTTCAGTTTCTCTGCCTTCAGGGGCAGCTTCCTATAAACCTAAGGGCCACATCCTCTTCCCCTCCCCCACCCTGCCCCACTTCAGCCCCCCAGTCCCGTCCGGAATCTCCAACCTTTCACACATGCCTACCTGCAGAGTCCCTCAGTGACTCCATCGTGGTACCTGTGGTCAGCTTGGACACGGGTGCAGCCTGGTCCGGGCCACCGTGGTCCCAGGTCCCCTGCCTGCCCTGGCTTCTGGTGGACCCAGACCTGGCCTGAATCATGAAATCTGGGTGAGCCCGGCCTCGGGCCCCCTCCCTGCCATGGCCTGGGCCCCTGCCCCCAGCTGTGCTCACTCCCAACCCCAGGGCATTGCCTCATCCCCAGACTACGGAGGGAAGGAAGTGATTCTGAGAAAGCCGGGTTCCCCCTCTCTGTTCCTCTTTTGAGGGCTAATGCGTGGGGAGGGCCCCAGCGGGCCTGGGCCTGGGGAGGGTGCGTGGGAGCCAGTTTGCTCCCCTGGGGCTCTGAGCGCTGGCCTGCTCAGTCCAGGAGGAGCAGTGGAGGCATTTCAGCTAGGGGAAGAGTGGGAGAGAAGACAGCATAGCAGGAGAAAGGGCCAGTCTAGGGACCATTCCTGACCCCAGGGAACCCGGGCTCACTCTCCCAGGGTGAGGAAGACATAGCCGCACACCTGAGAATCAGCAGAGGGGCTGAGGCCACTAGTACGTGCTTGCTGTTAATGCCCGTCAATCGACTGACCTACTAGAAATCTGTGCTACGTCATCTCTCAGGGCCTGGAGTCAGGAACACTAGAGTTCAAATCCAGCCTCAGATATGTACTAGCTTGCACAAGTCACTGGAACCAACCTCTGTCTGCCTTTGCTTCCTCAGCTGTAAAATGGGGATAACAACAGCCCCCATCTCCCCAGTGTTTGTGAGGACTAAATAAGATCAGATTTGCAAAGCTTGAGGCAGCTGGGTAGGGCTGGCCTGCAGTCAGGACGGCATCAGACCACTGTGGGACCTTGGGCCAGTCACTTCACCCCGTTTGCCTCAGTTTCTCCATGTGTAAAATGATCGGGAGAAGGAAATGGCAAACCGCTCTGGTATCTCAAGAGCCCACTCTGTCCCTCTCCCGCGGTCCCGTCATCCCCAGCCACTCCCTCTGCCCGGCTCTATCAGCTCATTCCCTACAGCTTAGAAACACGCCCTCATCTCCCTGTCTTCCAAAAATCCTGTCGCTCAATCCATTCACGGCCGCGAACCGTCATCCCGTAGCGTAGCGCACCTCTCCTGTTGGAAGGCTGTCCAGCCCCTAGCACCTGGCCAGGCACATGGGATCACTTGGACCAGTGATTAGCATTGAAGAGGCAGGAGCACTTGGGGAAAGTCCTGGTGGGCAGGCAGGACTTTAGCTGGGACCAGAAAGAAGCCAGGGCAACCAGGAGGCGGAGCAGGGAGAGCATGCCAGGCATGAGGCACAGCCCCAGCAAAGACCTGGCTCCTGACCTAAAGTCATCTCAGCCCTGGACATGTGGGCCTCTCTCTCAAACAGCCCTCCCTTAGCGCTGCAGCCCTCCTTCCCTGGTACTGCCCACACATCCCCCCTCTGTTGGGCGCTCCCGTCTTCCCAGCCTCTCCATGACCGGGCTCCGGCCAGCCCTGACGCCTGCTGGCAATGCCCTCTCTCCTCCCTCTACATCCCCAAGTCCCCAAAGGCACCTTCCACCCGAGGCCCAGCCTGATGCCTGCTCCTCTGCCCCGGCTCTTTGGGTCTGCCTCCAGAACCCACCTTGTGTTTATTTGGAATATAGACTTTTGATTCTTTCTCTCCCCTCCCCAACGTATTTCCTGAGTATTTATGTGTGTTGTTCTCCTCTCCCTGTTAGACTCCAAGCTCCCTGAGGGCAGGGAGGATTTCAGTTCTTTTCTCTATATTCCCAGTGCCTGGAACTTAGGAGGCCTTAATAAATGCTTGTTAGTTGATTGATCAACTAAGTGCAAGCTTGAGGGAAAGGGGCAGGCAGCCAGGAGGCTTCATGGCAGAGGGAAGAGGCCTGAATCTGGAGGCTGAGGACTTTGCTCACACCCTGCCCTACCTCAGGCAGTTCTGCTTCTGTGACCTTGGGAGAGACCCCAGTTTCGGACCCTGTAACATGAGGAGGCTGAGGTAAGCTTCCAGCTCCACACTTAGAGATAGCACAGAAAAGCCAGGGCGCTGGCAGGCTGCCCACTGAAGGAGGGGCTCCCGTGAGCATGAGCGCGTCCAGGGAAGGGAAGGCATGAGAAGGCTCCCGGAGGCAGGAGAGTCACCTTGGAGTTGTCTGGAGGAGAGGAGTCTGAAGGCAGAACCAGGAGCTGGAGAATGTGGCAACGGGGCCAGGTGCCAGGCACCCCCCCCCCCAGACAGGAGCGAGGTGGGAAGGGATGGAAGAGACTATTGAGCCCAAGCTCACTGACCTCACAGATGCCAACTTGACTAGGGTCACTCTGGGAGTTAGTGGCCGGAGAGGATTCACTCCCAGTTCTCCAGGAGGGAAAGGGGGGAGGGAGAGAAAGAGAGAGAGAGGGAGAGAGAGAGAGAGAGAGAGAGAGAGAGAGAGAGAGAGAGAGAGAGAGAGAG